AATATGTAGCCATGTTTTTGTTCTTGTACCATTTTGAATTTGCTGATTTTTAAGATGTATGAATGTATTCTCAGGGGCTGTTACTTCCAAGAAGGATATGAGGTGAAGATGGACATGAGAGTTGAGAGCGCATACCGGAAGTCCTTAGAAACAGTGGTAGAATGGATACATAGTGCAGTGAATACTACCAAGACACAGGTCTTTTTTCGGACATATTCCCCCGTACATTTCAGGTTTTACTTTAGCTTTTCTTCCTCTACAACCCCCTTTTTTTAATCTTTTAGCTTCTTTTTTTTTTTTTTTAACCTTTATTTTCATATATGCTTAACTTCTCGGGAGTATCAAATTGGAGTTCAATGCATTTTCATTGATTTAGCATTGGCATGCAAGGATGGTGATACAGAAAGTGGTTTTACCTATTGAGCCCGGATAAGTTGAAATTTTTGCATATCTTAGGAATTGACCCTAATTTTCAACTACATAAACTAAATAAAACAAAATCAGAAATACACTTGAATTTATACTGGTTCACCATCAATATGAGAGCTACGTCCACTCGCTGCAGGTTTTCATATCAAAAAGAAAATGGTGCAAGTCACACACTCGTCTATCAGGATTTTACAAGAAGCACCACCCTAAATATATTTTATATATGGAAGAATATAAGGGCAGACTAAATATATGTAGTAGGATATCATGATAAAGAAATAGGAAGTGTTATCAAATGATTTCCTGCAATTCTTTCCAGTACGGAATGAGTACAGAATCAAGGTACAAGTCTCGATTATACACCTAGAGTATGCCTCGGAGCCTGTCATGAACAACCAAGTAATGGGACGCAACGGATAAGTTTATAGTTTGCACCACATCATCTAACAGCAAACTATGCCCTTAGCATATAGAGCCCTTGATTTCCTCTCTCAAATTAGTGCTTTTTTTCTCCGGTTTAAAACATGTAGAACAGTTCAGTAGACCTACCAAATGTGCCGCATCTTTGTATCATGTATCCTGCATGCTTCTTCTTCTTCCTTATTATTATTATTATTTTTCTTTTTTTGGCATTTTTTCTTAAAACATGCTCTTATCCATTTCAATAACAAAGTGAATACAAACTTTTCCAGGGGTGGAGATTGGAGATCCGGAGGAACCTGTCACTTGGAGACCCTTCCAGATCTCGGTTCTTCATTAGTGCCATCCCACACTTGGGCTCAATATAGCATATTTGCCAATGTAATGTCAAGTCACCGGAACAAATTAGATTTGAGCACACTAAATATAACTCATATGTCGGCAAGAAGGAAAGACGGGCATTCTTCTTTATATTACTTGGGTCCAAGCATTGGTCCTGCCCCTGTTCGTAGACAGGATTGTAGCCATTGGTGCTTGCCTGGAGTCCCTGATGCATGGAACGAGCTACTCTATGCTCTCCTACTAAAGCATAACTCCAAGAAAAATACAAATTCATCAACATTTCATGCACTAGCAGTATGATATGGCGAAGTGTAGAAGTTTATTTCGCAAGATCATCCGTGCATGTATCGGGCCGAGCAAATATCTGATTGTAGGGTTATCAGAAATCTTGATACATTTTTTTATTTATTTCACAAATAGAAGTCCTAGGTTTAGGGCAAGTTAGGAACAGAATTTTTAGATAAATTGAGCATAAAGACAGAATTTCATTTTTTTT